TCTCTTCTACAATGCTTTCCATTCAGCCTTCTGTACCCCATTTTTCCTCTATTATTTTCTCTTTTTCTCTCTTCCGAGCTCTCTCGTTGAGTGAAGAAACTGTATTCAATCAACAGCTATTGATAAAATAGAAAAAGGATAGCTCCATTTTTTCCTCTTTCCCGTCAACAGAGTTCGGGTTTTTATTTGGATCCAAAACTATAGGGGCATGTTTGGTATATTTTTTGGGAGGAGTTTGGATTGGATTATCTAAATCCGAGCTTGACCCAAATATGAGATTCAACATTTAATGTCGTTCATACCCATATTTGATATACGCAGAGATATATGACCATTATGATAATATATTTGCATAAAAATGACTATTGTGTCTCTTAACCAATTTGTATATATGAGTTATATATAATATATAGGGGTACAAATGTCATTTACATGTTAAACCCATAAATCCGCAAATGAAACTCATTGCCCTTGGGTTTCATGAAACCTAAGTATGATGGGTTTCATGACCGGACCGACTTGGAAATCCTATTTATATTTCATGGTTGTCAAACATGGGTTTAAAGGGATTGACTCTCTAACTCAAGTTCCCAAAACTCCTCTAAACCCACAAACCAAACAACCCCTAAGGGGTTATGTTTATATTTTCAAAGTATAAAGAGATAATGTGCTCTGACGTCAAATAACAAGGGTTAATATGTAATTTGCCCTACTTTATTATCTTTTAGGATTTGAGCTTGATTAGTTTTCAATTTTGTTTTTCTAAAATTAATCATTTGAAAGATAGAAAATTGACGAAAGAAAATGGGATTAAGAAAATAGTTTTTTACTATTTTGTTTAGAAGCAAAATAGGAGGAAGAAAAAAATAAAAATAATGCATTTTCTCCTCCAGGTACCAAATTTTGTCCGTCCCATTTTGGGTGGTAGGTGGAATGAAAGAACCGACGCGAATAAAAGATCAAATTCACGGTTTAACCCTTCAAGATGTAAGACTAAAATAATAACAGTAGGGGTAAGATTTAATCAAGTCAAGTGTGACCGATTATTGTTGAATTGAATCTGGTCTTCAACAATTCCAATATTTTAACTTATCAGGCTGGGTCCCTCTCTTTCCACAACAAATTCCTATTATCAATGCTTTGGTTATCTTGCGATTAAGCTTGCGTGGCTCTATTACAGTTATCAAAAGAAACAAATAAATCTACCATCAAAATCAAATTTACAAATGCTTTGGTTCGCTCAAGTTTTGTTGCCATATCCAACCAGATAGGTTCGGCTATGTGGAGAAAATATTCATTATAATGATAATATTATGTGGCAATGTTAACGTGGTATCACTAATTAATAATATTAAAATAAATAAATAAATCTCATTAAAATTAATAATCAATCTTTCATGTAAATAAATAATTATTTAAGTAAAATTTACCTCAATCACTTGATATTTTATTATTAATTAATAATATCACATTAACATTAGTAATATTGTATAACATTCAATATTTCTTCTACACATGTAAGCTTTCTTTATCCGTCAACAGACTACAACGTGTGCGCGGACGAATAGAGAATTAGTTGATGAGCNATTATTTAAGTAAAATTTACCTCAATCACTTGATATTTTATTATTAATTAATAATATCACGTTAACATTAGTAATATTGTATAACATTCAATATTTCTTCTACACATGTAAGCTTTCTATATCCGTCAACAGACTACAACGTGTGCGCGGACGAATAGAGAATTAGTTGATGAGCCATTACGCTCGCGTCCACTCTACTATACTTTGGGATCTTTCTTGTGGTTGGTGTGGTTTTTTCATGAAAAATGTAATTTAGATTTAATTTACCCATATTTAATCAACACTAACCATTAGATTTGAAATAAATTTTATTAAATATTAAAACTCACAATAAAATCAAAGGAACAATATTATAGAAACTTGATTTAGGGAGCTAATATATCTACATTTATATATATAAAAAATCAAATTAGGTGGGAGGGGGTTTGAGAAGTCTTTCCTCCCACTTTCTTTTTTTATTAGGATTTAGAATTTTTTAATTAACAACTTAAGATTCTTTACGACAGGGGTGCAACTTGGGTTGAGCAACCCGAGTCCAAATCGAAAAAATTATGGCTTGGGTAAGGATTTTTAATACTTGGGTTGGGCTTGAGTCAAAAAATTATAACCCGAATTTAATTTGGGTTGGGCTCGGGTTAAGGCCTCATGAACCCGAGTTCAACCCGAACCCGAGAAATTAAATTTTATATATATATATATATATATAAAGTATTAGCACTGATTTTTCATTTTTGTTCTATCGTTCTCTGTTTCTCTCGTTCTCTTTGTCTCTCTCGTTAAAAACTTGGTTGAAATTATTGATTGTTAATTTAGATGAATATGAAGTAATATATGTATTAGGTTTAGAACAACAAATTTATTTTGGGCTCTACCCGAATTAAACCCTTAAAGTAACCCAAAACTAGCCCAAAATTATCAACCCGAATTCAACCCAAGACTGCCCGAATTAAACTCGGGCAGTGCTCGGGTTGAGTTTTCCAACCCGAGGTAGAATTAGGATTAAGATTATAATTAAAAATTATATATTTAATATTAAATTAGGGTTAATTGTCCAATTCGTCCGAGTTGCACCCTTGCTTTACGATCAGACGTTGATATGTATAATTAGCAACTCATGCACACGCAAGTTTAGGTCTGCCAAGTCGGCTGCTCATTGAAATGGGACCCACTTTGAGCCAGAACCGAGACTTAAAGTTAAACCCCCTAAGTAATCTCTTTCCATTGTTGAAGACTTAAAGTTAAGTACGCTTTTTTAGTTTTTTTCTTACTATGAGCTCAAATCCGTAACTTTAGTTATTAGTATAGTCCGATATTCATACAATAACTTACGGTACATTAAAAAAATAATACATATCTTATTTTTATATTATTTTTGCACTGTATCGTACGATACGTCCGATACGTAACAATTTTGGTTATTTATTTATTTATTTTTATTTTTTGGAGTTAAAATGACATCATTTTATCCTAAGACTTATTTTTAAATCACTTATTAGTGAAAGAACATCATTTTATCCTAAGACTTATTTTTAAATCACTTACTAGTGAAAGAATTGATAGGAGAATAAATAAGTCATATAAATGAATAAATAAAGTATAATATTAATATTATTCAATTGAATTTAAATTTTTTGAATAATATTAAAGTTGTTTAAACAATTGATATGAGAAGTTTGAATTAAATATTTTTGCATTTTGATATTAGTGAACTATGTTGAAAATTTGAATAGTTGGTGGAATATTAATGAAATACTATATTATTATGAGTCTATGATTTTTTTATAAAGGTATATACATATATTTTATTAATAATTATTTAAAAATTAAAATTTTGTGTATTTTACGATACACGATACAATATATTATTTTTAAAAAATGATAACCCTTCCGATACACGATTTGACAATTATGTTCGTAATCGATGGGCCTTTGTTCTAATGATACTCCTTATTGGGTAAAAATTTTGCCTTTTCAAGGTTAAAGGTTCAAATTCCCCTCCTTTCCCCTTTCAACAAAAAAACAAAAAAAGAAAAAAACTCAGATTCGTAACTTTGGAATTGGAAAGGGTTAAAAAAAAAAATTCTCATATCCTAAAATTTTATGAACGAGGGACTCTTTTACTTTCTGAGTATACATAACTTTTAACATCTCTAATTTTTACCTTTTTTTAAATTTAAATTTTAAATTATGATAAAAAAATTCTTATTAACCTTCTCCAATATTATACCTATATTTATATTAAATCAAAAGAGACTCAAATTTATATCTAAATCTTTAATGGTGAGATTTTATCTTCTTTTAAAGATTCGATAATCATATTTTATTGTCTTTTAAATTTTAATTTGTCTTCATTTAAATTTGAATTTCTTTTTCTTTAAATTTGATTTTTTTTGTTGGAGAGGTCTACACCAAATTAAATTTTTTTATCATTTTTTTAACTCAAATTTAGATAAGAATTTGAGTTTCCATTAAAGGTGATTTAAGAAACAGTCATTTCATCTTTTATTTGAGTTCAATTTATTGAAAGATTATGCATCATGTTACTCTCTGGTTGTCCCTAATTCAATTTTCTAGGCAATTATTATAAAGAACTGAATATAAATAGAGAGCCTATAAAATAATTCAACATCACCACATTACACCACTGATCTGTCCATTTGGTCCCGTTACGCAAAGTCCACGTGTATGCAGTTTATCAGTTGGTTTTCACATTGGACTTGCATACTAGTTTGGGCGTGCATCCTACTTCCCCTGTCCAAACATGGTTAGCACCGCTCCTTAGTTGTTCTAGTGGATAAGAATTTGAATTTTTCCCTTTAATACTATGGTTAGAAGGCCAAAGTACGTGGTGATACCTTAATTTCTGTTTCGACGTAGATGCGATGAGATCTCTTATAAATAATTGTATTGTGTTGAAGGACAATGTTCCTTGATAGATTTGTAGAATAATCTATCTGCATATCTATTTTTACAAATCGAGAAACATGTACTTGCTTGTTCGGCATTAAAAAACTTTATTTTTTGGATTTTAAGATTGATTGGTTTCGATTTTTCATTTTTCAAAATTAATCACATATGGTTGGTTGACAATCTCATTATAACTCAGAAAGTTCAATTGTTCGATTCATCAGATATTGTGAGACAGTAAACTTTGGAAGCTTTCACACTCATACGAGGAACAACAGCTACGTATGTTTGCAAACTATAATACAAAAAATGTTCTAATTATTCAAAGATCTATATAATACTAGATCAAGAAAGCAAAAAATAATAATTTTCTTTGTATTATACCAACTAAATGTGATTTACATAAACATAACCTATTTTTTATTCGTGCTAGTAGGTTGTATAAATACTAACTTGTGGGATCATTCTAATGCATATTCACGCTAAGTGTAGGTGATATCTGAACCGGTACTTTTAACGTTGGAGGACACGGTGTACGTGCCGTGGGGTGAGTGAGCTGCCTCAAATCCAAATGTTGTTGTACATTGACGAGCATACCCTTCCACTAACTTGGCCTGTATATTCTCTTTTCTTCCTCTTCTTCTTCATCATTGTTTTCTCATGGCCTCCTCAAAACAAATGAAAATGATCCTTCTGGATGATGATAGAAGGTATACGAATTTTGCTCTAATGGCCGCAGAAGATATACATGAGTATGCTGTCATGATAAAAAGTTCGCGAATTTTTGCTAGAGCCAAAAAATTGCATATGGGGACTTTGAATGACATGCTGGTTGTCTCGATACGATATCCTTTTAATAGCTTTTGTTGATATCACTTCTGATGGGTAATGGGTTGTTTTCTCTCTTTTAACTTTGAATTCTCTCTGGTCTAATCTTATATGTATGTCTAACGATATGATATCCTTTAATAGCTCTTGTTGACATTACTTCTGGTGGGATGTTTCCTCTCTTTACACTTTGAATTCTCTCTGATCTAATCTTATATGTATGTTAGACACAGCTCTTAAGCCTCCATTGAAGGCTCACCATTAGTCTTTAACAGCCTCGACACTAAAATTGTAATTAGTGCGGAAATTATATCACACTTCCAAAATATCGTTAGAGTCCAGGTTCAGTACCATTGAAGACTCAGTTGATGACAGCCGTTTTCAAAGTATAGGACTCGGCTGAGTTGTATCGTTTTCGATTCGATAACGATCCCACCTTCTACATAATTACTGAGTTTAGCTTGACTCGGCTATGAATCGTTTGAATTCGGCCGAGAAAAGAGTATATCTATGGCACGACGGCAAACAATCAAACGTTGCAGAAGTTAGGGACATCGATGTGGTGCCATCGTAAAGCACTCGGACGCCCAGGCAGAAGTAAGAACCGACTGATATGTGCTTAATGTTTAGGCTCTGTTAAAGTGTACGAATTCTAAGTAGAAGAAGAAAGATGGCGTTGGTAGTGCGTAGTGGATGTATTTGTGTCTGCTTGCCTGTAATTGCTTACCTTTGATGTAGAGATGCAGTACCGCCATCCTCCTTGAGGCTGAACTGAAAAGATCAGTTTTCCTTTACACTGAACTCGGCCGAGTTCAACTCATGAGAAATGATCAACTCATTAAAAACCCATTTACGAGCGCGAGTGAGGGATGGATTGAGTAAAGATTATTGGGCTGCAGAGACAGAGAGGATTGGCAGTTGGGTTTCGATTTTCCTCGATACATTGGCCGGTGGCTAGCAGAGAATTTTTTTTTTCACGTGTGACTGGGTTCTTCAAATTGGTCCATTATGAGCTCAGATTCATAAACTTTGGATTTGGACACGATTCCTCATATGGATGTCGTATTATGGAGTTAGTTTAGTGTTTCTTTTTACTATTCAGAAAACTATCTTTTGTCAACTGTTGATCTTGACCAAGAAAATACAGAGGACAAGAGCATAGAAAGAGGCCAACTTGGCCTAAACGCTGAGTCCTGTAAATTTCTTGGTATTTCAGCCGGAGATGAGGTTAACATAAAAGTGTAAGTATTTTCAGTAATTATGGATGTTGTGTTAATAAATGCAATTTGTTTGAGGATTTTATGTTATCGTATATGTTGATTTTTTTTTTTTAGGTTTGTTCCACCGTCAAAGGGGCTTGATTTGTCACTCTTGAGGATTGAGGTGGATTTACGGGATGGAAGTTCAACTCATCAACCTGTTCTAGCTTCCGACTTCGTGAGAGAATTTGTGAAAACATTTAACAAGCAGGTGATTTTTCTTTTCAATTTGTTATCTGTTTGCTTCAGCTACATCTATCTAATTTGTCTTGAATATAATTGTATCAATGTGTAGATTTTTACTGAATTTCAAAGCATCTTATTGAGATATGGCGGCAATAGCTATCACTGCACGGTTGCTGATGCTTCTCTTGCTGTGGAGAAAAATTCCCCTGCCCCAAAGCGAGGGATGCTCCGCAAGTCAACAAAATTGATTGTGGAGGTTTCTAGTTCTATGGTATACTCACATAACTTGGATATGTTTTGCCCTATTATATGTGTGCAACTGACTTGAGGACATATTATTTGATACCATATGAAAAGAGCGCAAGTCAAATTTAAGAGGAAGTGAGACTTTGTTTGTGATTTGTCAAAAAGGTTTTCACACACCATATATAGTTCGAGAAAAAAATAATCACACATCAAGCTTGTTTTTGCCGTTGGAAACTGTAAAGATCAATTCTCCATCAGACTTCCTTCCTAAGCCTTTCAAGTATCCATTGACCTCCCCCTGTTTTGCACTGAGGGGGTCTTACCACTGGCCTTCCTGTTTGGCAAGGATTTCACTTGCTATGACTTCCATAGTTTACAGATGTTCGTGGTTACATTAAGGGTTTATTTGATTTTATCTTCACAAAGAAATAGACATGAGATGCTTTCAACATCCTTTTATTGAGCTCCGATCATTCATTATATATTCCATTGCTTGAAATTCTATGGACTGTTCTAAATTCATCTTTGTAGCTAACGTTACAATGGCATAATGTTAAGGCCATATGCTAGGAGGGTGGTCGTCTTTGATTTTATTCTTACACCCTCTGGAAAAATGAGAAGACGTCAAGCAAAATTTGAAGCTCGTTCATTTTCTTCATAGTTACATCGAAGAGGGTTTGGGCGTCCCCATTTTTTATGATTCTTTTAATTTTCCAAACCTTGTTATTTCTCTGGTTCCCTTAAGTGAGCAACCAAACAATGTGTGAACATAGAAGCTAAATATATAATTGATGTATCAGCCAGCCTAATGTAGACTTCCACTTAATATAGGGTCTGTGATTGACAAAATATTATATTGAATTATATAGTGGGACTGATGAATTTTAAATTTTGAGACAAAAAATAGTTCCTTTGATTTTTTAGCCAGTGTAAACACTGCACCAATTTACATAGGATTTTGTTGATGTACATACCTTTGTATGGTAAAAGTCTAGGTTCAAATTATGTAATGTGTTCGAAGGGATTTATTTTGGGTAAATGAAGCGAAGGATGAATCATGCAACAACATTACGTTGCTATAATTTAGTAACAGCTGGTTTGTTTACATGTTGTATCTCATCAACTTATTTGTGTTCCTGACATAACCTACTGGTATAAGTAGATACCTGTGTTTGTGTGTTTGTTTGTTTATTTGTTTTTAACGACAACACTCAATTCATTTGACAAAGACTTGTCTCAACTATTTGGGGTCTGTTGTATTGATCCTATTTTGCCAAATCATAGGCTATCATCTGTAGTTAAATTCAGTCCACTTTGTTTTATTCTTGGTGTAAAACAATATATCTTTAGGAGTTGAATATCATGTTGTAGAATAATGTATATAAAACTTGTCATGATTGATCAGAGCGAACAGATCAATGGAGCCGAAATATTTAAGAGCATTTTTCGCGATGGTTTCGATATGAAATCTCTGGAACAAGAGCTAATATCTCTAAACATAGGGGGGATGACCTCACAGATCCATGACATTATTCACCTTGCATTTGGCTCCCGAATGGTATCACCTGCCAATGCAAAGAGGTAAAATCTGTTTTCATAGTCTGCATACTTTTTTTTTTCCTATTTCTTGGTGTTGGGAAGCATGTTTGATATATTTATCTTACTAAACAATGAAATTTGTGGGACCTCAAATCCCCCTATTTGTGAAATATTAAGATCATAATTTTTCAGGCTGCATTCTGTAGCAGCATCAGTAGTAGTATTAGCAGTAGAATGAGGTAGTATCAGAATTGCAGAAATATATTAGGGAGACTTAGCTCTGTAGAGAGTTGGACTACATTTTTATTTACTTCACTCTCCTTAAATATTGGCAAGAAAAAATATATTCTATTCTTGTTTTATTGTGTTAGCTTTGGATTGATTGACAACTTAGAAGGTGGCAACTACCAAAGAGATTGTAGTTTTCCACTCAAACATTTAGGCATCAGATGCCTTCAGTTTTTCAAAATTCACTTTCTTTGGTCTTGAAGATTATTTCTGAACCGAAATGGAAGTTCTAGCGAAGTGGCTCATGCTGAATTTTCGAGGCTTAATAGATTCTTCCAACTAGAGAGTCTACACTTTTAGTCAGTTTGTATTGAACACATACCATTGAGATGCACAACATGCTTTCTCATGTATGATTAATGGTTTAGCATTGGTTTGGTTTTTTCTTTAGTGATGCCATGTTTGATTGAGGGATTCTCTCATATCTCATTCTAATTGATATCTAAGAGTATGAGATATACATCTAAGATAGATTGCTCAGCACTGCATTCTCTTGTTTTTTGTTTTTTTGGAAAATACTCTCAATAGATTTAAATTCTGACATAAACAATTTGCGATGTAGAAATGTAGGTTCGAGTGATCGGCCTTTGTGACTATAATTAGGTCCAGACTTACATTTATTCTTATGATATTGCTTGAATGCACTTAATTGTACATGTTTGTTTTTTCTTACCCCGAGTTACCTCTGGTTGAGAATTGTTTAACAAATTTTTACCAATGCTGTTTACGGATTGTTTAATAAATTTTTACAATGCTTTCTGGTACCATGTTGTCTAAAAGGTCAATCTTCTTTAGTAACCCAAGTTCTTTCGTTAATCATGGAAATTATTCAATTCTAGGTTGAATCTAAAGCACATAAAAGGGATGCTGCTGTATGGTCCACCAGGCTCTGGGAAAACATTGATTGCTCGAAGTATTTGCAAGTTACTAAATGCAAAAGAGCCCCTGGTATCTTTCTCCCTTTCTACCTACTCCTCGTCTCTCCATCCTCTCTTTCTTACACACACAATAACAATAATAGCCAATGAATTTCAAAATCTTGTCTTACTCTAACTTTTCACTTTTTACCCTTTTAGATTGTACGTGGACCAGAAATCACACAAGAATTGTATGGTGCATCTGAGAGGCATATAAGGGCACTATTTGATGCTGCTGAGAAAGATGAAAAACAATATGGTAAAAATAAGATACTTAATTTTCATAAGAAATTTATTCAATCTTCTTACACATCATACTGAGTTCCTGTTATTCTTTCGTCAGGTTCTAAAAGTGACTTGCATGTCATTATTTTTGATGAGATAGATTCCATTGGAAAGGTAAGCAGACATGTGCAATGATTGTTCTTTTCTAGCCTCATGTGGTCTAGAATTTGTCTTGGATGTATGTTTCACAATAAGGGAAAGAACTTTTTATTTTGTATGTATAAACAACAAGGTGTTTGAAATCTCGTGAGTCATTTTGGTTGTGTGCAGAAAAGAGGAGCAGCTGCTGGATCCTTCCAACATGATGATAAGATTGTGAATCAATTGTTAACGATGGTCAGATTCTTAATTTCTTTTCAGGTTTTGCATTTCTTTCTAGTTTTTGTGTCCTAACCTGAGCAGCAATTGATGTAAATGTTTAGATTGATGGCACAACAGAACTGAACAACATCTTTATTATTGCGACAACAAACCGAAAGGACCTCCTCGATGAAGCCCTCCTTAGGTAACTTTCTCTCCTTCCTCTTTTTTTACTTGATTAGAATCAATGGATGAATCCGAGGTAATTTTAATAGGTTTCAAAATTCATTTGACCTGAAAATGTTTGTCTTGCAACACCTTAAGCATAAGACCACCATCCTCTTTCTTCCCTTCCTTTCCCCAATGAACATGTTGGCAAAAATTTATGGATGGCCTGTATTTGAGATTTATGGCTAGGATCCATTATCTATTGAAAAGGGCTATGTCTAAATAATCTTATGTTTTTCCTCTTTCGGTAAATAAAACAATTGAATTGACTGATATACATAATGTACGAAACAGGGGAATCCCAGACAGTCACATAAAGAAAGCTACAGTGTATAATGNAATGGTGCGTTTGGATGGCAAGATTAGACTGGATTGGGGATTTAAAACAATATATTTTCCTATCCAACCCAAACCCACCTATAATTGGACTAGTTAGGATTTAATTGCTATATCCTATCATTTCCAATGTTTGGATAACGCAAAAGCACTTCTGTGGGACCCATTGCGAAGGGTGATGTAATATGGTACCATTGACTATTTTGCCCCTAACCTATCCAATTCAATACCATGTTTGATTTATAAATTAGCCTTTGACCAATTCTAAACAAAAAAATTTTACATGTACTTTTTAAAAAATGTTGTAATTTCTTATCCTCTCAACGGGTGTTCAGTTGTTACGAGAGGTTTTAAGAATTAACTCAAGCTCTCACTAATTAGTTATTTTATTATTAGTTGCTAATTAACCTTAGTCCAAATAGGATATCGCTTTATTAGAGTTAGTTTATTATTTAAATTAATTGTCTTATTGGAGAAGCCATCTTGGTCTTCTTAAGGTATGACGGCAGAGGCTTGCTTTGACAAAACATATTTGTTTAAAAAAAAAAATCAGTTCTGTGAAAAAACAAGAGGAGGAAACGAAGTAGATGAGAGAGGTAAAAGAATATGACAATTCAGTCATTTGCATTAGTTATCTTGTCAGACAAAGAAAATCCCAGCGGGTTTCATTTAACTCATGTCGATGGTTAAAGTTGACTTTTCGAATTAAGTTGGGATAAAATCCGAATGGGATTTCCAATGCATTTTTTACTTACCAAACGTTTGATATATGAGCCACATACTTTTTCATCCTATCCTACCAGAGTTATCCCCTTTTACCCATAATCCAAACAAAACCTAACCGTAAGACTGCCGCCCTCTTTCTTTCCTCCTTTTCCCTCTATGGATGAACATTTTGGCAAAAATTTAAGGGTGGCCAGTATTTGAGATGTATGGGTAGGATGTATTATCTATTGAAAAAAAGCTATTTCTAATTAATTTTATGTTTTTCCTCTTTCAGTAAATAGAGCAATTGAATTGACTGATATACATAATGTACAAAACAAGGGAATCCTAGACAGTCACATAAAAAATACCAGAAGCTATATTTTCTGTTTGGCTATCTGCTAGCTACAGTGTACAATGGTAGGTGTTAACACAAATCTGTAGGACTAACATACATACACTACACTAAACAAATTTGCTCTATAAGAAGCGTCATAGAACAAACCTAAGGCAGGGAAAAAAAAGCCAAGTTATGGTCATTACTTTGTATACAAAAGCAAGAGTTCTAGCAACTGGCAATCTTGAATCAGAGGCCTGTTGTAATGAAGGCATTGTCTTTGAGCTTCAGTGATGCATCTCAGTTATGAATGTATTGACAATTCCTTTTGTATACATCTTTGAACTCATTTCTAAAAATTCTGTAGTTCATTTCCTCCCGTAATGCATAAACTGTTATTGTTGTTTTCCTCTGTGTTTAATGCTAGTCACTTTTAGATGTTGGGGTTACTGTGGTTAAATTTTCGTAGCTAAGATATAATATAGGAGCAAGATAGTGGATTATTGAAGAATTCTGCACCTTGAATAATTTATCTATGCTGTCAAAAGGCTTGCCCCCCCCCCCCCCCCCCA